GGTGCTGGGGGGCTTGGAGGGCAACAGCTGGGATGCTTCAGAGAGCCAGGCCCTGAGCCCAGCTCACAGATGAGGTTTTTGGGAAACAAAGCTTTTCCTTTCAACAGCTAATGAAACCGGACCAAGAGAAATGTGAGCTGAGGCCCAAGGGGAAGGGGAATTTTTTTCTGCCATCTCCACCCCCTGCTTCTTCCCCGGCTCGGATGACCCCTTGCCTCCCCAGTCCCTGTGACTTCATGAGAAAACATTTGTGCTGAGGAGAAGGGAGAAAGACTGGAAAACGGACTGTTCACTGAGAACCTGAGAAGGGCTGGAAGTGCCTCTCCCCAACAGGTCCATCCCTCCCCGCAGCACCTACCGGGAGGCTGTGCTGGGACACAGAGATGCTGCCGGGCTGCACCGTGAGGCTCATGCACTGGTTGATGCTGCCTGCAAACCGGGACGGCTCCTCCGCTCGCTCGCAGCTGTCCCTCGGGGAGCACCTGCCACACGTGAGCACACGTCAGAGCACCGACAGCACCCGGGGAACACCTCGAACAGCACAAGGGGCTACAGCTGGCCAGGGGTGAGCTAAACGGCAGGCAAGACCCTCAGCCAGGGACTGGGGGTGATGCTCTGCACCAGGCACCAGGCACAGGCTCCAGGTTAGGACTAGAGGGCACCGAAAAACATTCTGTGATCAGAGGGAAGACAAACCATAAGTATCTCGGGAGCAATTCCCGTGCCTGCCCGCACTGGGACGCAATCCAGAGCTGCTCAGTCCCGTGTGCTGGCGGCGACAGTGGGCGCTGTGGGTGCAAGGTGAGCCAGGCGCTGCCATAAATTCATAATCTGCACAGAAACTAAACCGTAAAGCAATAACAGGCAGTAACAAGACGATGCCTCCATTCTAATTAAAACCAAAACACATAGCTCATTAATTGCCTCCTCCTGGAGCTGAGGAGCCAGGATCGGGACTTTGTGGCGGCTGCACTTGGGCCACTTTTCATGCCTTGGGCTCCCAGCTCTCTCCCGTTTCTGCCACCAGGAATGCAACCCTCTGAGCATGCCAAAGTGACTAGGACTCTCCTAGCATGCCCTGTGCTCCAGGATGGGTCATTACCCCTGTCTTTTTGTTGCAGGTGTCCTTGGAGCGGTGTGAAATCAAGTTGCTTCAGCGGGTAGAGGAGCATCCACCAGGAAACCAAGGGACTGTTGTCGGTGTTTCAAACAGGTATCAGAGACTGTAGCACAGCACGGGCATCCCTCAGCCTTTTCCTGTGTTATGTCCCCTGGGGAAACCTCTTTTCTACCAACCTCCTTCTCCAGGTGCAGATGAAGTATTGGCCTTTCAGTACTAATGGTCTTAATAAGCTACCAGCAAACTTCACTTTTCACTCTCTGCTGATTTTGGGCCCTGTTTCAAGTGGTGGCGCAAAGGTCAGAGAATCAAGATGCTGTCACCAGCCCCACACGCCACCAGCAAAGTTTCCTTTTGGCACTTACTTGAGTGTATATGTTACTGGAATTAACAAGGTGCTGCTGTCAAACCGCTTGTTTTCCTGGTTGCCTGGGGAGCAGCTCAGCGGCCCCAGACACGCACACGAGCATCAGCACAAACACCTCCCACCCGCGCAGAGGCTGAATTTTGCCGAGTCCATCCTGCTCTGATCACGGACAAAAGCAGAGCTTCTAGCTCTCAAACAGTGGACCGTCACCCTCCCTGTGGGGCCATTTGCTTTTAATTAAGAAAAGCAGAGTTTATACTTTCCCTTTCCAAACGACCCATGAGATCCCTGGCAAACGCCGGTGCTGTTCTCCTCACCCTCTTGCTTTTTCTACCTTTTTTTTTGGCATATAATGGAGCTAAATATGAATGCTGCCAAAGGAAGAATTATGGAGGTTTAAGTGAATCTGTAAGATAGCTTTAAAGTGAGCCCTTGACTGGAGCCTTTATCTCATTGACTCGCTGGAATGGCTCTTTTTTATCATACTATTTATGGCAACAGCCCTAACAGAGATAAATAGGTCTGTAGACAATAACACACTTGCAGAGAGCAGCATATGGAAGTCTTGGAGGTTTCAAATCCCACTGGGCTGAAGAGACTCTTTTACAACCTCCTCGAGGCCCCTGCTTGCTCCCAAAGAGCGTGTCTGCAGAAGAGCAGGAGCGAAGGATCCTGCTCTCGCAGGCAGAGGACAGGAGGACACAGCGGAGGTTCTGGGCAGGGACGGGCAGCTCAGGCATCGCTCTGCTGCTCCAGGTCCCTTGGGTGAGCAGAGGCTGGTTTTTAGTATCTTCCCAAATGTCTGTGCCCGGGGCTCCTCCGAGCGTGTGCTGCCCGTGGCCACCACCTCGTCAGGAATGATGCTCACTCACGAGCATCGCTGCTCTCACCACCCTCGCATTCCCGGCATGTGCACACGTATGCAAGCACCTCAGCGTGCAACAGAGCCTTAAGCCCCGACTCAGGCTTCTAAGAGTCAATATTAGGTAACGAGCACACAAGGAAAGTTTTTTGTAACATTGGATAACGAAAGCCAGGACAACTCAGATCCTTCTTCTTTAGGATTCCGCTCTGGCTGGTGGTGTGGGAGCCAGGACACACTGTCTGATGGCACCTGGAATGGGGCAGCTGTCCATCCATCTATCTCACACCTGTACCTGTTCAGATATCCCACACATCATTTAAAACATTTTTTCTTCCTGGCTCCCAGATAGCTCGCTACCTGCGTGTCCCCCAGTGGGGAGAAACAACTGGATTTCAATCCCAAGCAGGCGCAGTGCTGGGCTTTGCCACCCCCACGCTTGCTCAGGCAGCCACGCTCTCGCTCTTTCAAGGGTGAAAACGTCTCCTCTTCTGCCCCTCAGTCTTTTTCCCAGCCCTCAGAACCCAGCATCGCACCCTGACCCGCAACCTCCCGCCGAGCAAAGGAGCAGCTGGTCCATCTGGCAGCAGGGACATGTAAGAATCAGAGGAGAGAGATGACAAATTAAATACAAACACTCCAGCGCTTGGGGCCTCCGAACAAATATGACAGAGGCTTCAGGAATAGCAAGATAAACTCAATTATTTACAGCTTAAGACAAAAGCTAAAAAAAAATGATCATTGCTTCAAGCAGGCCAGGAAAGTGCAGACACTCAAAGGGAGGGTTGAGAAATACCATCAGGGAAGAAACTCTTGTTGGGAATAGGTTAATGCTGAAATGTCACGGCCAAAAGGGCAGAGGAAATGACACTTTGCTCTCCTCTTGACATTGAGGGTTTTCTCTCTGCAAAATGAAGATAACAACCTTCACCTGCTTCCCAGGTGGTTCGTGAAGATTCAGTTCATTAGCATTAGGAAGGCGCTCGGTGATCCTTGCAGAGAAGCTGCTGCGGGAGCTTGAGGAGCAGCACTGAAAGCACCCACCCACGGATCCTGGATGGAATACTGGACAGAACCGTCCCCTCCTGCACAGCTCAGCAGGTGCTGCGAGGCTGCTGTCCCCAGGGAGCAAATGCTGGGTCCTGGGAGCACCTCCAGACCTGCAGCTCAGGCCAGCTGCTGAGCAGAGCACGTCCCCTCTCCTCACTTCCTTGCCCCGACACCATCAAAAGGCTGCGGTGGCTTTTGTCCCAACCAGTGGACAGGCACAGGGGGATGGCTGCCCTCAGGGAAGAGCCAAAGGGATGGAAATCACTCCCTTCTGACAAAGCTGCTGTGACAGTAAAGACTTTTGGACACAACTGCACATATGGTGGCTTAGCTGTAGGGCTGGACAGGCTCGTCTGAAAGGAAGAAAGCTAAAAAAAAAATAATAATAAAAAAAGATGCCCAGGAACCTGTGCTCTGCATTGCCGTGCTGCATCCCAGGGGATGCTCGAGGCTGGTGCCTGCACTGCTCCTCTGGCATCTCCCTGAGAGCAGCAACACTTTCTGCAAACCCAGCAAGCTGCGGGGGAGCCAGTTTGCCCTCGCAAAGCCCACAGGTCCCGAATCCAGGCCGGATTTGTGGAGGAGCCTGCCGTTCTCCGTTCCCCCTCCAGCACCTGCTCCTCAGGCAAGTGGCCAAGTGCTGCTGTGCGGGTCCCTGAACTCTGCCTCCGCCCCGATTTCCAGGCGTTTAATGGGGCTGCTCTGCAAGCTGGCACACGGCCGGAGGGATTTCTATTCCTCTCCTCCAGCCTCCTCGAGGCTTTCTCCTCCTCCCCCAATCTGCCTCTGCCTGGTGGTCCCCGCTTCCGCCTTAGGAAGTGATCGTTATTATGGCAGGGGAGAGAAAGGAAGGACACGGACACCTCCTGAATGCAGAGAGCGTTTCCTGGAGCTCCCCTGCAAAACAAACCAGCCCTCAGCCCTTTGTGCCTGTTGAGGCGCGCGAGGGGCTGCCAGCTCCCGGCTCTGCCCCACTGGGGAGGGCTGGAGCTTGGACCCTCTGACCTGTCCTTGCAGAATTTAAATATCTCTTCTTGATGCATTTAACAGGGCTTGGTGCTCTGCCTTGTTCCAGTGTTCTAACTTCTCTGAAAGTCCCACTTATATAATCAAGTCTACTAAATTTCCCCGTTAATTGGGAAGGACTCGCAGCTTGGGCAAGCAGAAGTGTGCAAAATGTGAGGCTTTTTGTTCCCAACGTTTTAATTCCCGTCATGCCATGGCGACCCACCACTCCTAAAGCAGGAATTTGCTTTCCTTTACCTTTCCATGGGAGATCACGGATTTCAATGGCTTTGGTGCTGGTGCTGCAATGCAGGGAACATCCAGGGAAGGGAAGAATGGATTTAAGGAAGTTCCCCCTAATTCTCTTTTGCAAAGACTGTTTGGCAGGTGCCTGGTGAAACTTTGAAAGTTGCCTTCCTCATCACTACCAGCAGCTCAAACGAAACAGCTGAGACTGGACTTACATGTGGTGGAGGGTGCACCAGCCGCAGTGGGGGTCTCCGGAGCTGAGGCACTCCCCGCAGGTCGTGTACTGCCCGCAGGACTCCACGGGCACCCGGGACACCTGCGAAGGAAACAAACACATGGGCTCAGGGCTCCTCTCCGCACAGCGGGCGAGCAAAATGAGAGCAGGTCCTGCCTCGCCAGTCTGAGTCACGTAACACAACGGCGATTCCCAAACTTAAATGATTTTCCTTCCAGTATCAGCTGAGCCACAGCCTGGCCAGAAACCCCTCCCCACTCCCTGCCCAGAGACATTCTCGCAGAGAAGCCGTGTCCTCTCCTCCCTGATTCACAGTTTGCTTTCTCACCCTTGCTGCAGGGAGAATTGCTTCAGAAAGGAAAGCTGATGGGGAATAAAACTCATTGGGACCTTGCAGTTGGCAGTTTATTTAACATGTGGGTATTTCACTATGTGCTTCTCCTCGGCCGCCCTGAGCCCTTCCAGCACCAGTGTGGACCGGGCACCTGAGGAATGACCGTCCCAGGGCCACCCGCCTCTCCCAGGCAAGAAATGCCAGAGCAGAAGAGAGAGGGAAGCCCACGAGGGAAAACCAACCCAGATCGCTGCTGCAAATGCCCTCCCGTGCTTTTATCCCACGCGCAAAAGGTCCCGGCGTGATGCTGGTCCCTGCGTGATGCTGGGATGTAGCACGGTCCTGACCCATTTACCAGCGCTGAAAACCCCAAAGGCTCCAAAACGACACCAAGCTTTAACCACGGGTCACTGCTTGACTCCAGTGAAGAAATTCCACTCTAACCTTTCCGCCCCCTCCCTCGCCGCCTCTGGCGGGCCCGCCTCTGGCGGGCACCGTACGTTTGCATCCACCATCCCAACGCTGCAGTGGTCCTGCTGCTGCTTGTCTCTCCCCGAAGTATTCACATTGCTATTACAAAATACTGTAATTAATTATTGCCACCCCCAGCACAGCCGCCCTGCAGCGCCGGCCGCTCCCCTCGGGCTCCGGGAGGGATGCCTGCGACCGGCTGAAAGTTAAACCAACTGTCGGCATCGCACTCACTCTGTCCGTCAAAACAGCGGCCGGCTCGCAGCAGCTGGCGGGGTGAAAGGAGCAGTGTCTCGCCAAACAACGGCCACTTTCACGCCAAGTGCTGTTGACACAGTGAGAACCCAGTTCCTCTCTAAACACGACACCAATAGGGCTGCTATTCTCCTTGTTTCCTCAGCCCTACTTAACAGCTTTTCCTAAAACAGGGATTGCGCAGGGATGGGCATTTTCTTTGCTGAGATGGAATTCATGGGGGTTATGCTGAGAGTGAAGCAGCCCCGGAGCTGGAACCGCGGGGTGTGAGAAGCCGAGCTCGGTACACGGGGCATGTATTTAGCCTGTGGTGGCTGTAAAGAGCTTCAGAAATGGAGAAGAGAGAAATGCAGCGCTCCCACGCCCTGCCCATCCCACCTCGTCACTAGTGATGATCCGAAAATTTCCCACTGCACACCAGAGATGCCGACACTGTGCTGCTCCTGGATGGGAGCCTGGGAGCAAACGTCTGTTTTTTAACCCAAACGAGCAGCCCATGGAGCCACGGTGGCTCTCAGCAGTCCCCATGGGAGTAACCAGCCACCGCAGGACACGTCGAGGGAGGTCACTGGGTTTTCCCTGAAATCTGCCCAGCACGCTGAGCTGTGTTGGTGGGAGGGCTCTCACCCACCCCAGGAGGTCAGGAGAGCCCCCAAACCATCGGGCATTGCTGATCCCCTGCCTCTTACCCAAGATATGAGGCTTGACAGGATCCGTCCCTGTGATTTATATGCAGCTCAGGGCTTGTTTCATGTTTGTGAGGAGCTGGATGCTCTTGCAGCGCTCTATAAATAACAGAGGATTTGAATTATATGAATAACAGTTCATTACAGATGATTTTATGTTAGGCATTTAGGTTCTTTTTCCGCTCAGAAGCTGTGGCTTCTGCGCGAGCTAATTCTTTAAAAATTACACCAAAATTTTGAACAATGCCTAGAGCAGCAAGTTTCCAGCCCAAATGGGGCCATTTGATCCTTTCTTTGTAGTGTCTGCAAACTCGGGGCGGGTAACTTCACCCATTCCCCTCATGGTAGCATTTGGTGACCAAAGCAAACCTGGTGGAAACTCCTCGGGGCGGGTGACATGGGCTGCGCTGGGGCACCAGACCCAACCAAGCCCCAGCCTTTGAGCAGCAGAGCCCTGAGGGTGCCTCCAGGACAAACTTCTGTAGCCCCGACCACCCAGACACACTCGAGAGCTGCAGGTTTCTGGTCCCTGGCTGAAGGAAGGTCTTCAACTTCGGGGAAGAATAAACCATCTGTTCTTCACCAGTGTTTATGGCTGAGACTTTGAAATTCACCCTTCGTAAAGGTCAGTGCCAGAAAACCTGCATTGCTCCAATGCCCAAGTAAATGTTTAAATGAAGAACTTCATAAAGATCATGGAGAAAAGGCATTTAAATATTTGCATGCATGAAAAGGTTGGATTTTTTTGCCCAGTATTTGCCCATCTCTCACAGCACTACCACGCAATCGACCATCCTCACTATCCATGATCAAAAATATTCCGACCCTCTAAAGGATATGTTTAATTTTAATGAAAAAGTAAGAGAAATACCATTAAAGGACAGGATATATCCATATGTTACCCGATACCTCACGGTATCCCCGTCCCGGTATCCCTGTCCCGGCGGGCACCAGCACCTCACAGCTATGCATAACCAATGTGACTCCCATCTGTCACAGCCCGGTCTATTTGCTCTCTCATCCTTGCCAGCCCCTGGGGCAGCTCTGTGTGCAGCAGAACGGTTTATTTGGAAAGGGCTTTGGTTTTCAGTATTTAGTTCTTAAATGCAAATACTTCTCTTTGTTTACATTAGAGAAGATAGGTCAGAGGAATGCTCCTGGCACTCAGAGCAAACATCTGAGAAGGTCTATCACCACTTCAGGAGTGTATTCCTCGCCCCAGATGAAGCTCCGAGAAAGCTGTTGCCCGAACTGATGAACTTATCCGCAGAGCAGGAGCACGAGGTGCTGTGCACCCAGAGCGCAGCGCTCCTGACTTCTGCCCCAACCCGGGGCACTCACAGACCTCACAGCCAAGCCTGAGCTTTCAAAAGCAGACGCCAGTTTTGGATGCCTTGAGATTTCTGCTCCAGCTATCAGAAGCACGAGGTGAGAGGTCCTGAAGTCAAGCAGGGGAAGGCAAGAATTTTCCAAATGCAGACTCAAATCCTGCACCACCTCGCCTGCGAGCTGGGCTGCTGCTGCCCTGCAGAGCCTGGAGATGCCTGTGAGGCCACGACACCTCCGCAGAGGCACGCAGCGAGTCCCTGCGGGGACGAGGAAAGGTGACGGGCCAGACCCATCAGTGTGGTCACAGCAAATGCAAAGCGATAAAGCAGTTCAGCAGAGCTGAGGAGCATCTGCACGAAGGACAGCAGCCAAGAAAACAGCACTCCTGGGGAATCTGCTTACCCCTTAGGGCAGAGCCCTCCTCTCCCTGGCCCCTTTGCTACCTCTCTTCCTTCTGCCCCAGCTGAAACTCTGCTGCCGAGTTTTTCAGTTCCCTGTTTACGAACCTGCTTCCCAATAATTAAACGATAAAGTCTCATTACTGTTTTCCTTGACTGCGTCACCCACATCAGCAAAAAAACCCACCCAAAATCAATACAGACTCTCCAAAACACACGAACTCAAAGTCTGCTAGCCACCCGAGAAAATAAGTGCGAGAACCTGGTTCCAAATAAATAAATACATAAAACAAACAAACAAAGCCAAGTTTCCATAGCTTACGCCTGCTACCAGCGGAGGCTTCTGACCTCCCTGGCTGGAGACAGCCCCTGGGGCGCCCCACCGCCACGGCACGCTGCCTGCAGACCCTCGGGGTGCTGGAGTTCAAACAGAAAATCTATTTTTAATGACTTTGGGGAGTGTAGTAGAGATGCCAACTAGTTCAATGTAATTAAAGCTATCTATCACTCAGTGAGCAGGAGCCCAAAGTTGATGAACTTTCCAATGAGATTTTATTCTTCCCTTCATTCATGAAAACACACAACTTTGTGCAGGAGACATGAAAAAGTGTGGGAAGGAGCAAGGGGGACTCATCAGTTCCAGCCGTTAACGTGTCAGGGTGACAGAGCTGGGAAAAATAAAGTCAAACTTTCTCAGAGACTTGGAAGAAGTTTGACAGGCTCCTCTTCCCGCCGTCTCTCCTCCCTGCACTTTTATGTTCAAATCTGGAGTCCTCCAGTGATATCGCTTCTATCAAGGGAAAAAATAAGTGTGCAGGGCTGTGGAGCAACCTGTGGGTCCAATCCAGCCCAGGTGCTATGAGACGTCCTACTCAGAAATGATTTATTCTTGACTCGAGCTGGTGGAGATCTCGGACACGCTCTGAGTGATGCCAGCAGCGAGCATGGCAGACCCAGCAGCAACGGGATGCAGCCAGCACACAGGGTAGAAGGCAAAGGAGAGCATTTTAACCAAAAAACGTTGCAAAGCATTCCCAAAGAGAACCTGAAAGCAAGAATAGCTGCTCCAGGAGGGACTCAGCCATCTTTCCCTGTAACGGAAGAAGAGTTGCACCCAGGCAAGTCGGGATGAGGGGGAGTTCTCCTGACAGGTAACAGCAGCTGCTGGAGGACCCAGCTCTCCTCTCCCACGCCACTCGGCAGAGAAAGGATTATCAGAGCTACCGAAGGGCTGTCAGAACCAAACCAACGCCCGTAACTTTTGGCAGAAAAGCAGTGAGTGGGAAGGACACGGAGACAATGTTTCCATGACTACAAAGGGATTATTTAATTACGGCGCTGCAGATGCATGCGGAGAAAGTCCCTTAAACTCTGATCCAAGCAACCTTTTCAATGAGTTTGGCTTTACTGCTTGAAGAACCTCATTAGCATCTTAGGAGGACAAGCTGTGCTCGAGCACAGAAGACTGGAGAGCTTTCTTAGCGCGTAATCAGACCTTCTCCAAGCATACCTGCCTCCTTGGCTCCCAGTAACCCTCCATGCACAGCAACAAGATCCTGAGGGAGATGATGAAAGCAAGGGCAGTCTCCTCCAGGAAGCACGAATAGA